CTGCCAAATGCCAATAGTTGAGGATAGTGACAAAAGAGGGTTATTGCTTCAAAATTTATTTGTGACATTTAATACATATAAAACCAACCCTCCCATCCACCCTGATAACATTACGGATAGACCTCAGGTTACAACCGGTCACTTAGCAGCCATTTGAAGTTACGACAGACCTCCCCAGAGCTACTTACAAGGTAATGTTGAAGTTCCAGTGGCTGCCAACCTCCTCATGGTCATGTGATCACATTTTGGAGGTTGGCAGCCGACCCTCACATCTCTTTGCATCATCCTGCAGTCATGTGATTGTAATTTATAATGTCTATTGCCGGAAACCAGTATTTCTAGCAAAAAATGCCCATTGGGTACATTGCCCATTTCAATGAACAAGAACACACATTCAGTTTTGTAGCTAACCAAGATTGTTGGACGAGCAGGCACAAAAACAGCCAGAGAAGTGATTGAAGCTGGGGAAACAGGCCCCTTATCAGTTAATAGGAGTGCTGAATTATCACCAGCCTATCAAATATTTAGGAGCTGAGGGCTTGGCAGCACAAGGAAATGACAGCCAATAGCCAGCCATCAACACACCAATCAGCCAATAAAAGACACCATGTAAACACAAATCACAGAACAGCCCAAAGCACGTATTCTGGTAGAGAAATTCCCTAAAGATGGGCTCCAGCATGAGTCCGAAAGTGCAGAAGAATAAATCTCTGGTCCGATGACCAACCCAAATTTGATTTCACACAATAGGTTTGCTTCATGATCACCATACTTGTTTAATGAAGGCGGAGTTTGCTCAATAACTGCCACAAAAAAGACAATAAAATAGAGCATGACTTAACAACCATAATTCCAGCCTCAATCACAGTCATAAGTCAAGGACTAGCTGTTTAGTGTTTCAATAGATAGAATGTAAATGGAATAGTTGAAATAGAAACGTGATTTTTGTGATACCAATCACATGACCGTGGCATGCAGTACTTGCAGTGTCACATGTCACCGGAGCCTAAACAAATTACGAAGCTGTTGCTTTTCTTGTGATATTCACATGATCCCAAGAGGACAACATTGCCTTGTGGCCTTTTATCCTGCTTTATAGCTCATGGGTCAGATCTTTCAGCAGAACTGGAACATGCAGTTTTCAAAGTCATTCCAGGTTCATCTTTGACATTTTTCTTTTTCATTAGATCTTTGACCTCTCATACTGTCGCCTGTGACATCTTTTAAAATTGCCCATCTAAGAGATGGGAACTTTCCATGCACTTCAGCCTCAAAAGTAAATTAAAGTTTGTTCTGTCTCTTTGTCTCTCTTTCCCTTCGTATGTCCAGGATTCAAATGTACACAACAAACATAGCCCTGAAGCAAGCTATAAAAAAGGGAGTCTCTCTCTCTCTATATAAAAAAATTCTAAAATAGACTTAATAGAATGGCAATTCATTAAAAACAACCTACATATCTTTCTTAGACAATACTTTTTAAAATACGTGTTTATCTCTTCAGAATGGTACAATAGTCTTATTTATATAGAGATGATCAGTGGTGATTCTTTTTCCTTGCATGACTTTATTATTTTCAAGACATGTTCGTTCTGTCCTGTTTCTGCCTCAGTTGGAAAATAGCTGTTCTTAAAAATTCAAACAGTCATATATGTATCGTCAGATGTGGGTTTCTGCTGGTTCGCCCCAGATTGGGTGAACTGGTAGTGGCAGTCGTGGGAGACTCCGCCCACCCACCTGGATGCTTCTGCACATGTGCAGAAGTGTCACATGAGAGAACCGGTAGTAAACATAATTGAGACCCACCACTGGTACATGTGCATGCATATTTCCAGGTGCAAAATATATCTCTCTGCAATTTCCCTTCACATTTTCTATGCCATTTCACTAGTTCACTCACGTTATATAGTTTTAGGTAGGCATTTTATATAAATTTGTGGGAGTTGGTAATCTAAGTTGCCGCAACTGGAGATGTTCAGAAATCCAAGTTTGGTTTCATTTGCACTCCTACCTGAATATAAGAATGGCAGATTCACCCAGCTCATACTGAAATGAGTATATTTTTCTCCCCTTCCCTGTTTATTACATTTGTTAGATGTTAGTACAGTATTGTGTGATATCCAATTTATAGGAATGAACATCTTAAAATAAAGTTCAGTTTTCTTTATTTGCCGCTTTTATAAGGTTCCTCACAGTCAAAAGACTCATGGTAGGTGAGATTATAAAAATAAAAATGACAGAAACGCAGCTAATGAAACTGCTGAAGTTGGGACAGCTCCGGAAAGGGAAAAGAGAAAGTCTGTCGAATTGGTGAGGAAATTTTATTATTAGAGGAAGAGACTACCAAGAAAAAAAAAAAGTTAAGATTGAAGACAGAAGACTGTAGGCGGTGAGATTGATCTGCATTGAACTTAGTGTGTTATCCAGTTTCTAATTTTTTTTCCACGGATGGAACTTTTGCAGGGGCTCCCTATTTTTTAAACGGAATGGATTAATTCTTTCTTCTTCTTTTTTCACTTTTGCTTATACCTATGGATAAAAATTCTTTTTTAATAATGCTGGATTTGATTGGATTGTTTTTGATCTCCATTTAAGAGCTTTTTTCCCTTTCTTAAGCTTGGAATATAAAGAAGANATATTATATTTTTTCCCTGGCATTCTGCATTTTTCTGCAATCAGTAGAAAATCAAGACCTATATCAAATGTATAATTTGATTTTAATTTCTAGACTTTCTAAGACTATTATTCTTCAGTTCTCCAATTGTAGCCCAATTCTGTAGCCAATAATCAGTTGCCAACTTTTCCCAATAGGGTTGAGCATCATTTATATTGCATCTCCAACATTAGGGAAAGTGATATTTACTTAACCTAGCTGGCATGTAGTACTGTTGATGCACGACATTATGATACAATATTCTGTTTTCAGAAGTAAACCCACCCTCTTCCTCTATTTATCCCAACGCCTTTTCTTGAATTAGACTCAGCATCCAATGAACTGCAGTTGTTTGGCAGGCAGGAAGACAATCTATTAAAATAAGTCAATGGGACAGTCAAGCCCAATTTTCTGCTAACATGGACTCTTTTTCTGGTTTGCACAGAAGCTAGCAAGATAGGAATAATAATAAGGTCTAAATACTAATACTGTGCTTATTTATTAAATTTTCGATAAAACTCCTCATGGTTTGATACTGGTTAGCTAAAGTAAAGTTTTAAGATTAAGAGTATTTCTTCTTAATTGAAAAGAAAGGAAAAATGCTACAGTGATTATTTTTATTTTTGTTCACTTAATTTTTCTTAGTATTTGAAATCACATAAAATTGTTTCATAACTTGAAATTAATTTAATCTTATTGATATAACTGGCAATGAATAATGATTGAAATCTTACAAGATTACTAAACCTCATACTATTTTGATGGACTATGTTCATTTAAGGTACGATCTTGAGAACATTTAACTAGCTTGAAAACCAGTGGTTTTTAACGGACTGGAGTACTTATGCATTGCCTAAGATCACCCAACTGAGTCCTCAAAATGTGGTCAATTGTTAACTTACAAATTTATTTTCTATAATAATATTTTTCTGGGAGCTCTGTCTGTCTGTTTGATAATGTACCTGTGCAGATGGGCAAAACAAAATAGCCAATGAACCAAACATCTACACTACTATATCTATATATACACTTCTATGTATATTCTGCTCTATAGTACAAGGTTTATAGCTTCACAATGCATGTCTTAAAAGGCTATAATGAGTGGAGAAGAAGTGTTGGCAGAAGGACTGTTCCAGTGTTTTACTCTTCAGAATATCATCATTTCAGGGAACCAAGATCAGGCTGATAGCATGCAACTGCTGTACAGTAGCTCTAATTCTGCCCAGAAATGAATAGATTGACGTGGAGGAGAGGGGGAAGATGCTAGAAAGAGTCTTCTTTTTCAGTCTGTCTCTGGTTTGGGTCTTGTATAATCCTCCCTTTGTTTCTGCTGTAACAATCTCATGTAGAGCAACATGATGAATTTCCATTGTTCCATTATTTATCAAAGGCCAACCAATAGTATGGGGAAAGCAAATGTGAAGAGCAGATAAGCAAAGCTGTCACTCAAGCATCCCAGATAACTGAACAGGGCAATAACCACTACGCTTCCCCTACCTTTTCAGCAAGCGTTTGCAAAAGAATATAAAAGTAAATTGGGAGACTCAAAATACTGAACGTATTTTTCTAGGAGCAAGTTCCATTAAAGTCTAGAACTTTGGATATAATATACTGATGGAACAGTGGGAAAATATGTTTTCAATTAAATGTTAAATATGTTAAAAAATTGGGGTATACGTTATAACATTGGAATTTGCATTGCTATAACTTAAACGAGATTTGTTACAAAATGATACACTCTTGATACATATACTGTATGACTGCAGAAAAATTGTCTTAGAATGTTTAAAGGTACTGATAGAAGACAATATTTGTAGGTTAGGGTTGAACTGTTCAGAAAGTCATTGGTACTCTCTGAGCTTGGTGGTTTTCTTGCAGATGTTTCATTAGCAACAGGTTACTTCATCATGATGTTAACTAGTTTGGTAATGAGACCTCTATAAGAAAACCACCAAACTCAAAGAGCATCAAGGTCCCTATTGTATGAAATTACTTCAAATTTATTATGTGAACATGATGTTAGGTCATTTTATCATGCCTGGTGGACTTGTAAAAAAGCCAGAAAGTTCTGGATTTAAATACAGATATAATTATCTGTATAATGATATAAAGGAGGTTCTGGATTAACATTCAACTGAAATTAGAACTTTTCTTGCTGGGATTAATTGGTGGTCAATTAGAAAAAAGTCCCACAGATGTTTTTCTATGACCCTGAAGATGGAAATTGGCCATTAGATTAACAAATGATCCATAGACAAATTTATAAATTTTAAACAGATTTTCTTATGATGTGTCTGATCTTGACTGCTTGACTCTTCTCAACAATGTCATGTCATTACTTCTTTTGCAGCTACTACAACACCACGTCCGTCCTCCTCTGCCTGGGGATTACAACTTTGGTTTGCCTTTCCGTCACCCTATTTAGCTTCCAGACCAAGGTGCATACATGCATTTATACCATAGTTCCTTGATTTTACCATTTCCTATGTAAGCAGATAAGTTTTTTCTTTGTTAAAATTAGCAGGCTGCAGGGATTGCCATTGCCTATTGCAGCCTCCGCTTGCCCCATTTTTGACCTCCACATCCCATTTTTGGCTTCCGCGTGCCCCGTTTTTGGCTTCCGCGTGCCCCATTTTCCATCCATTTTAATCCCTGCTGCATGGAAAGGGTAGAAAATGGGGCACGTGGAGGTGGCAATAGGCTATGGCAATCCCTGCAGCCTGAAACAGCTGAAGTTTGGGAAGCTGACAATCAGCTGCTTGTGCTAATCAGGCTGTGCTGAAACTGAAACAGGCTGTTTGCTGTATGCTGCAAGGAGGCAAATTTCTGGGAGGCAGATTTTTTTTCCTTGTGCTAATCAGGCTGTGCTGAAACTGAAACAGGCTGTTTGCTGTATGCTGCAAGGAGGCAAATTTCTGGGAGGCAGATTTTTTTTCCTTGTGCTAATCAGGCTGTGCTAAAATTGAAACTGAAATGGCTGTTTGCTGTTTGCTGCAAGGAGGCAAATTGCTGGGAGGCCGAGACAGATTTGTTTTTCTTGTTTTTCTCCCCAAAAGTTAGGTGCATCTTATACTTCGAAGCATCTTATATTCTGAAAAAATATGGTATTTGCAGTCTTAGCAAAAGGAAGATTTTACTCTAGAGCTGCGTTTTTCAACCTCAACAGCTTTACAATGTGTTGAAGATTCTGGGAGATGAAATCCACCCATCTTAAAGTTGCTGAGGTTTAGAAACCCTGCTTTAGAACTTACACCATTGAGCAAACTTACACTGCTTCTCCTTCCATGAAGGTAATGGTGGCTTTCAAAAAGCAACTTTTCCATGGAATTAGACTTGCCCCTCTGCCCTCCCCACCTTTCCATATCCAAATTTGAGAATTGGCTCAAGAATTGCCAACCAAAAAGTTAAAATAAATTTTCTCCCACTGGGAATGAAATTAATTGGCAACTTTTTAGATGGAGAAAAAAAATGCTATTTGAGACCTTTTCAAACAGTATGATGAGTTTAAGAAAAACCCACTCCATCATCTTTCATTCAGAAGGACTTTATCAGGCAGGAACAGCAAGAAAATCAAAATAGAATAGAATACTTTGAAAGAGTCTTTTGCCCTTTCCACATTGCAAGTCAAACATTTTCTATTTTTTGGCAGGGTTGAGTTCATGCTATGTTGACAGCTACTCTTGATCTGATCTCTATTTATGATTTTGCCCCTATGATTGGTATTGAGGGCTGTGTTGGAGTTTATAGAAAACATAAAAGGGAATATACAATATATAATATACATTAAGTTCAGAGAACATGTGGTAAAGGCTATAAATAGCAATAGCAATAGCAGTTAGACTTATATACCGCTTCACAGGGCTTTCAGCCCTCTCTAAGTGGTTTACAGAGTCAGCATATTGCCCCCACAGTCTGGGTCCTCATTTTACCCACCTCGGAAGGATGGAAGGCTGAGTCAGCCTTGAGCCAGTGAGATTTGAATCGCCGAACTGCAGCTAACAGTCAGCTGAAGTGGCTGCAGTACTGCACTCTAACCACTGTGCCACCTCGGCTCTTAAAGAGTCGAGTAAAGAATGGTAGTATGTCCCATATGGGTGCTAAATGAAGCAGCAAATATTTGGGGAAATTTTTTATTCATTTATGGGAGCCCCCTCAATCGTGTGACTTGAAGATTTGTTGGATATCAATTTCATTGGTGCTCTAAGGTGGCAGATTCAAGGCATCTGGTCAATATTAAGTTGGGAAAGGCAGATGTGGGCATTACTTAGGCCAGGGATCCCCAACTCCCCGGTCTATGACATGCCAGAAACCAGACTGCGTAAACAAGCGAAGCCCCATCCACGGGATGCAAGCAGCACAAGAAACCTTATCCCCTCCGGTCCAGGGGAAAAAAACTCTCTCCGTGGAACTGGTCCCTGGTGCCCAAAAGGTTGGGGGCCACTGACTTAGGCTATCCAGGAGCTAAGGGACTTTCAACTTAATACATGCATCTTATACCTGTGTCCTCTTGTTTTCTCCCACAGTATGACTTTACATCTTGCCAGGGGGTGCTCTTTGTGATGCTGATGGTGCTGCTGTTTAGTGGGATCATACTGGCTTTTATGCTTCCTTTCCATTACGTAAGTTTCCTATTTTTGCCAACCGAATCCATAAATGCATCCTACCAAGTGTTATTTTGCCATGTCTAGCAGCAGAGGAGATGCAGAACTATCTTTCTATGCTCGTTATGCCATTTAGTTAGAAACAACAAAAAAGCACACTACAGGCAGTCCTGGACTTACAACAGTTCACTTAGTGACTGTTCAAAGTTACAACAGCACTGAAATAAGTTACTTGTGATCATTTTTCACACTTATGACCATTGCACCATCCCCATAGTCACCTTAATGAAACACAGATGCTTGGCAATTGACTCGTATTTATGACGGTTGCAATGTCCCGGGGATATGTGATTTCCTTTTGCAACCTTCTGACAAGCAAACTCAATGGGAAGCCAGAATCACTTAACGACGGTGTTAACTAATGTTAAGAACTGCAGTGATTCACTTAACAAATGTGCTAAGAAAAGTAATAAAAAAAGCAATGGACCAAGCTCATTGAACAAATTTCTCACTTAACAACATAAATTTTGGGCTCAGTTGTGGTTGTAAGTTGAGGACTACCTGTATCTTAAACTTTTTCTGTACATTAGTTTTCCGTATCTGTATTACCTTCACTAATCAAACTACAGAAGGATCCTTTGAAAGGAAACATGGTTCAAGAATATGAACCTCACTAGATATTTGGGAGGGAAATCATTTCCTTTCTCCATTTTCACTAAACTCTTTAGGTTTGATTTATTTTTATCCTCTATTTTTTTTTTTTTACTTTTATCACAACTGCTACTGGCATAGCTAGTGTAAGGCAGAAGGCTTGGGACAGATTGTCAGCCAAAAGGAGAAGTGTCAGTTATCATATGGAGGTGGTAAACAGTTATGGAAGATCTTGTTGAAGAGAGGAAAGTAAAGATGAATTTAAAAAAAAACTCTGCTGATCTTTTGTTCTGCTGTTTGTAGAATCTGTTCTGGGGGCTGCTGATTGCTTGGTATCTAATTGCCGTGTTCTCATCCTCTTTTCTATATATTTTCACCAGAGGTGGGTTGCTAGCGGTTCACACCAGTTTGAGCGAACCGGTAGTGGACATTGGGACTGGGTTGATGAACCGGTAGGGAGGGCCGGTTTGCCACGCCCCCCCCCCAAACCAGTTCCCCGGTCACCCATGCTGTTGCATGTTTTTTACTCATTTTATAATGTTCTGCGCATGTGCAGAACAAGTAACAGGCAACTACGCATGTGCAAGCCACACACGGTGGGCTGGCGCATGAAGCGAACCGGCAGCAACCCACCCCTGATTCTCGCTCAGTAACAGAATAATACAGTAAAAGACTTGGAAGGGATCTTGGAGGTCTTCTAGTCCAACCCACTGCTCAAGGAAACGGGAAACCCTATACCATTTCAGACAAATGATTGTCCAATCTCCAGTGTTGGAGCTTTGGGAGGCAAGCCGTCTCACTGATTAAATGTTCTAACTGTAATTTCCTCCTAAGCCTTATCTCAGTTTGTTTTGCCACATCAATTACCTGTGTTTTAGGCCTTGTTATCACTTTAGCAGTAGCAGGTTGTGTTACTGGGTTGCGTTTAGTTTTGAATTGCTTATGGGGCAAATATTTATTATGGGAGGGAAAGAAACAGGTAGAATGCAGGCAGGGAGGAAGGTTAGCATCTCTCCAACAACAGAGTTTTTATTCTACCATTTGTTATCACAGGAGCCTTCTAGATATTGAGAAATATTGATGGGGGGAAAAAGCGGGGGGTAAGCTTACGTTGGGCTGGCCTATGTGGTGAGGCTCCTTTGATAAGCATACTTTGTTTGCTTGTTTTTCGGCTGGGTTGGGCTTCCCATTAACTTGGTTGGCTGGGATCATTTGTCATCGCTAATTGTTTCCCTCTGGAAACCATTTTGAACTTCCATTCACATTCTTCTGTTATCATTCTGCAGTAGCAGAAGACGTCATCTGCAGTGGAGGATTTTCTAATCTCAGTATAACATATCTAAAAAAAAATGCCCATAGGCTTCCGACAGTGTGTGGGAGAAAAGAGTTACATTATTTTATTGCTGGGATTTTTGAGTTCTGGGAGAAACAATTTCTTCTTCTTCTCCCCATAGATGTCCATTAAAAAAAATACTCAGGGATGGGCTGCTATGGGTTCACCTGGGTTCAGGAGAACCCATAGCTAATGATTTTATGGCCGGTTCGGAGAAACTCCAAATCCCACCACTGGCTGGCCCCTCCCACCCTGCCCCTCCTCTCCCTGGAGTCTCCACACAGCCTGTTTTGGATGTGAGGTAAGTTCAGGGCCTGTGTGGAGGCTCAGGGAGGGAGGAAAATGGGCCACCCAGAAGTTCCGGAAGGCCAGAAATGGGCCTGTTTTCAGCCTCCAAAGCCTGGAGGAGGCAGTTTTTGTCCTCCCGGAGGCTTGAGCAAAGCCTCCAGAGCCTGGGGAAGGCAAAAAGGCCCCCACCGTGGTGCAGGAGGCCATGCCCACCCAGCAACCAGCCAGAGAACCAGTTGCTGAAATTTTTGAAGCCCTGAAAATACTGATGGATTGGAAATAGCATTTACCAACTCCTTTCACCATATCCAAGCCATTGAGTGTGACCGGCTTTCCTTTTCATTTGTTAGAATTAAAACAGAGTATGGAGAAGTATGCCACCCCCCAGAGGAAGCAGCAGACAAGTTGGGGGTTAGCAATGGTTTTTAGCCTGTTCCTCTAATCTTGGACTTCTGTATGTCTTAATTTTCTAAAGTCTAAATCTCTGATAGGAAAGACTTATAAGAAAACAAAAATTGGCTAGATGAAAATGCATTGTTTTATTTTCCTGGATGTTGAAGATGACAGTTGTTAAAAAAAAACACACACCCCCCCTCCAAATGATTAAAAAAAAAAAAACTTGCGTGTAAAGAATTGCCAATATTTCATCTTCTCTAAATGGCTTTCAGCACATTCTTGTTCTCTAGTTGTTTTTCCTGATCATAACTGTCTCTTTGGGCAAGTCTGCAGATTAGAGCAAATCATGACGTGAAGTTAGTTTCAATTGATCACAAGATGATAAATGGTATGCTTGAATGCATTCAAGAATGGAGGTTGAGAAACAGACAGGATACAGTGAACTAGCTTGACCCAGAGAAAGTTGTCCTCTTCATTAATGTGATTTCTGCTTGAAGAAAAGGTAGCAAGTCCCATTTTTATTTGGTCTTTGACCTTAAATAAATCTTTCTAGAAAGATTTTTTATATAAAAGAGTTCCACTCATGTGATCCCCCATTTATAGTTGCTGCCTACCAATGCAACAAGCTGATAAAACCTTTACCGTGTGATCTATGCAGATCCTTTTTACTATCCCTATAAAAACAACAAAAGGTTTCCAAAATACACACACACAAACCAACAAACACCCCCCCCACACACACACACTTATTTGAACATGTTTTAAAAAGTGATAACTATTCAAAATCTGATTGAGGGGAATGTATGCTTCCGTCATCTACACGAGGCCTGATAATATACAAATGAGATATTATCAGCTATATACAAATATATAACATTCCGGTCATACATTCATCTTAAATATTAACAGAAGCAAAAATGGGAAAAATAATATTGCTTGCATGCCTGAATTATTCAGGCCCAAAGTGAATTTAGTGGTGCTTTTTAATTACTGAAGAGAAGGACCAGGGGAGACATGATAGCAGTGTTCCAATATTTGAGGAGCTGCCACAGAGAGGAAGGGGTCAAACTATTTTCCAAGGCACCTGAGGGCCAGACAAGGAATAATGGATGGAAACTGATCAAGGAGATTCAACCTAGAAATAAGGGTAAATTTTCTGACAGTGAGAACAATCAACCAATGGAACAGAAGTTGCCTTCGGAAGTAGTGGGAGCTTTATCATTTGAGACTTTCCTCTAGAGATTGGACTGCCATTTGTCAGAAATGGTGTAGGATCTCCTGCTTGGGCA